TGTATTTTCCCGAGCACCTTTCAAGGCTTCCTGGGCTAACTCCCATGACTTCACCAACTTCTCACGGAGCACTATGTCATATTCATACTCATCTTTCAACTCCGGTATTACATCATCATTTGTCCTCAATAAGGGAGTTTACAGATAGCACATGGTACAAATGACCCCAAATATCCACAGATCTTTTACACATGGACAAGTTCCACTTTGAGCATCTTAGAATAATAACTGCCAAAGTCCGAGATGTGATTCATGAATACCTTTTGTTTGACCTCTTGAAAAGAATACTTCCACCTGCGTATCATAGAATGTACCGTTGGTGCATAAATGAATAATGTTACATAACTTTCATGAGCGCATATCCAGTATTCATCTCGGTGTGGGTTTTACCATTTTGGTACAAATGACCTTTATTTGCCCATGCGCAGGTTGTATCTATGAACTGGCTTATTCCCTGAACATATCAAAGACACTGGCCAAGACCCAGTCTTCATTAAACCAAGTTTTCTGAAATGGTAGAAATTTTGAAGATATTCAATTCCTACACGTAGTGATAAAAAAATGTCATTTAAATCAAACATTTCCATTGTCACCGCTAATATCAAATATTATCAGAGTCTCTGTTACCTTTACTACTGCTATCACCTTCACCAGTAGTACTGCTAGTAGGTGAAAAGCATTACCCTTGTTCATCTTTCAGATAGATGTCATTACTGATCACTGCTAATATAACGCTTATGTTATCGTATTCAATTATTCAACGACTGAGTAAATTAATTTTTTTAAACATTTTTTGTACGAAGCAAATGAGATATGAGCTCGCATGTGATGTCACACAATTTCCAATTTGTGCTTCACTGATTACAACTCCAAAAAATTCATAACTTTCTTTTTGATTTTTCCTCAAAATTTCATTGATTTGTTTCTCTCATTTATCTGCTTTTATGAAGACCAACTTATTTTCGGGGTGGACTTCCCCTTTAAAACTTTACATGTATATGTAAGCATCTTAAAAAATGCATATGTATAATTATATGGCTAATGTCATTTACTCCTTACTGTACTCGGGGGGGGGGGGGGGGGGGGGGGGGGGGGGGGGGGGGGGGGGGGGGGGGGACGTAAGAGCCCCCCCCCCCCCCCCCCCCCCCCCCGCTTGGAATTTACAATTGTTGTTTTAAAAAAAAATTCCTCAAGTCTTACGCACATTTTGAAACCATTTTCGTCGAAATTCGATACAGCTGTCAGGTGTTACATAGCAATTAGTATGCGCACATCATCAAAAAGTGCTACAATTGCATATCTTCATGAACAAGCAGAAATGTGAATACAGGTAAATAGATGTATAAGTGGGAGATATGAATTGATATCAAATTGCTTTGATACATTTCTCAAAGTAACCTGATGTTTTCCCGAACAAAAAAATACATTAGAAATAAAACAATAGATCGAGGGCTTAAAACCACAACTGTCTATGTCCAAATATGCCATTTTGAGTAAAATACATTTGAAAGTTTGATTGCAAGCATAAAATCTGACAAAGTGAAGTAGTTATGTTCAATGCCATTAACTTATGAATAATACTTGGTCAAACATCATACATGGAGGCCATGACCTTTTGACCCTGTCAATGTCAGAAACTTACAAAATGGGAGTGCCAAATACCATCCATGGAACTCTTCAGGAATGGCTAGGATATTGCACAACTTCGGAGATCCTTCTTCTTAAGGTTTAGGCTTTTTTCAATGCTTCTCTTGGTAGACAAGGTCCAGATTAAGTGGAACTGATGATCTATCTTCTTGTATTCATCCGAGTAGTTATACTTGTAGCAGATAATGCCTTGCTTTTCCTTCCTGTATTGAAAGCTCTTTACATGTAGCCAGTTGAAGACATGTCCACCTTCGTCTCGACGTTTGTTCTTCATGATCTGCTTTGAGAGATTCTTCAGATCATATAAGTCTCCATGGCACATGTTTATGACCTTGTATGGAAGCCGACGTCTTGCTTTGTGGAAGATGCTTTACCCAGTCATGCATTGTGAAGCCGTTGATGTTCTTTTTTTCTGTTTTAATAGCAGAATGCAAACTTACTTACAATGTAGTCACATGCCTTGGTGTAATATGAACGCACTGCTGCATATAACTAATATGGCTATCAGACTCATCTAAAGTGTTCACAATTTCTCTTGTTGCGCTTTCTATGACCATTTCAGATTCTTCACGAAGATTCTCCTTGTTCTTGTAGTCCAGAAGGGTCAAGTCTGTGGCTGCAACGATTGCTTGTGGAGCTACAAGTGGCTGTACGAGTCACGGAGTAGACTTTGTAGTATTCCTTTCAGCTTGTGTATCAGAGGACTTCTCGTCTGAAAGATGACACTTTCTTGTCAAATGCAATGATGCTGTGGCTGAGAAAATGTGCAATGGCTAATATTGGGTTTGAGTCACAATGACTTCAGAATTCTTTCCTGTCTTGTTTCATTACTTTACTGTCTGTCTTGTTTCTTTCTTTCCTCCACATCTTGTTTTTTTCATTTCCAGTCATTTTACTAGAAATCGTACTGGGATGACTGGAAGTTTCAGCCTTGAGGACTGTTGAGCCTGTTGCCTTGCCGACAACTTTCCCAGTATTCTGCTTCTTGCTAGGTGTATCTGAAGTGTCCCTCACTTGTCGTTTTTACCGAGTAGTACAGCTTGAAGATGGTCTACTGTGTTGTGGCTGTGGTGCTTGAAGTTGAACCTGGGAGGAAGAGAAATTATTGATTACCATATGAGAAAGAAACAAGACTACTGACACTGTTTACAATTAAAAAGATACACTACATTTGAGATCTTGGCGGATGACTAGCATTATTGAATAAATGTTTATATCTGTAAACTGAACAGCGGAGTGAAGATGATCGGAAGAGAAAGAGCTAACAAGCAAATGAACTAAAAATAAGAATAAAGAATAAATGATGAAAAGGTACATATTTAACTGTCACCCTGTATATATGATCAACTTTTGTACTCACTTGGGTCTGAGACTTGGCAGGTTTGCTAACATGTGGTGGATCTGCAGACACCTTCCTGGGAATGCGGAATGCTTGGAGTTGTGCAGTCATCTTGGTTTGGTGAGCAGGCTTTTCCTGCAGGACAAGACAAGTTTAAAAACTTCATGCGATACCTGCAACACTATTGATAATGACTTATTTATAATTAAGAAATTTAATTACACATTAAATTAAATTTTGCAATTACCATTCTGGTTCATGTAATATCCATTTTTATTTTTTTCAAAGTATTTTAGAGTGTAAAATGATAACTGTTGCCGATTTGAGGAGTAAAAGCTGATTAATTCAAACATTAAGAAAGCTCTCTACTGCTAGGGTTAATCTATTCAAATCTGGTAATTTTAATGATGGCCATATTTAAATGGAATAAAAAGGAGTAGATGCCTTGTAGTAATACATTTTTTAGCCTTACCTTCAGTTGAGATCCCTGAGCAGGTTTATTTTTCACAGCTGGGGTTGGCTTCTTTGAAACAAGTGAAGTCTGGACACTATTCTTGGTAGCCTTGGTCTGTTGAGTAGGCATCTTCTGCTTTGTCTAGAGTAGGCGTCTTCTGCTGGGCCGACACTTCTCCTTCAAAAAAGAGAACTAGAGCTTGCCATTGCTGGATAAATCTTGGCAAGCATTGGCCCAAGCTCAGCCATCTCGTACAAGCATGTTTCAGAATTGCCTGCACTTCGTTCCCAATGAGCATCTTGAACTTTTTGAGATTCAATTTCCTGTTCACGCTGGCTTCCAGATAGTAGAACACATCAATAAGGAGCGAGTCAATTGAATATGGTAATGCAGATGACGCAGCTTTGGCAGCAAGATCGTTTAGATGATTGGGGCAACCAAGCACAATGTGGTTTGGCTGACACTTTCCGAGGCATGCCCCAATTCCCTTGTGTACACCAGTCATGACTGATGCATTGTCTGTGACTTGCAGCTGATAGAGAAATACTGTGCTCCAAATAAAATGATGTAAATAAGCACTCAGCTCTAGTTATATTAAAATCCTTGGAGGTTGACATCCATGATGTTATATCTCATGCTGACGATTCAGACTGGAAAGCAGTGATGTGTTGCTTTGATTTGCAATGAACAACAGTGTCATTACAACCGCCATGCAATATTGACAAATCTCGCTGACATACCTTGCAAATTGCATGATGTTGCTCTTTCCTGATGATGCAATGAAGTCAAATTCATCAGCATATTTCTTGTTGTAAGCTTGTCCTCTTTTGCGCTCCATCTTATTCACAACGATTTCCTGTCTTACATTGCAAGGGACTGCTTTGGCATCTTGAGCCTCTGTTTTTCGTACGAGATGGGCTTTCTTGAAATTCTCCTTCTGTTCTCCAGACAACTGGTCATACTTTGTACATGTTGCACATTGGTATTTTTTATTTATCATAACGGTTTTTCCGGGCAATGATATGGTGTTGCTTGGCCACAATCAGTGAAATAGCTGCATGGGGAATCTTATCTGCTTAATAAGTAGAAAACTGCAAGTATTGCGCAATTCTTGATAAATGCGTGAATGTACTTAAAACAGTCTCAACATCAAAGTAAAATGGTTAATGGACACATGGGAATAGACAGTTCTGAATAGACACAAAGTGAAATGAATATACAGTACTTTGGTGGACATAACTCAATTTCACACAAAATGGACATAAACAGTTCTGGCTTTAAGCCCTCGAGAAAAAATAAGAAATAAATAACAATATAATACATATTAAAGAAAATAAAATGAAATTTGCATATTCAAAATTTATGCAAATTAACCTTTGCATTTTCAAATATCGACAGCCCCCCCCCCCCCCCCCCCCTGCAGTCAGGGGTTGCTCAAAATAGCCCAAGGCCAGTAGAATTTCAGAAATATGTTTGCTCTTTCATTAAAATTTAATGAGAAAATTGTAAAGCACAGTTTTTGTTGGGGTTGCAGGGGTTTTTATACTTGTACATGTTTCTATGCGATTCCGTGTTTGTTTGTTTTTTGGGAAAAAAGATGAAAAATTGTATTTTAAGATCGTATTTCACTCTTATTATCGTACTAAATATGATTTAATCGTACTGATTGGCATCTCTGTATAACCCTCCAATTTTCATTAACTCAAACAACTTACATCATAGTGAATAACCTACTCAACTAGAACTCATTATCACTACCAAACAATCATCTTTCAGCGAATAACATTCCAGCATTGCGTCCCGATATTAGTATTCTTTCATTATCATTAACCTTCCCATTTTGATATTCCATATATAACCATGATATCAACCTCTTCTTTACTTAAATACTTGCATGTCTTATTGTCACGTTCAAGCTTGATCTCTGATTTGAGTGTCTTCTTGAGAGTGATGGTTTCCACCGTGACGTACCTTGTCTCCTACTCCAACCCAGTCAAAAAATGAGCACTTTGCAAGGTTCATGGAATGTTCCAACTTCAATATACGGATCAGGTCGACAATCCTTAATCTGGGAAGAAAAAGCATGGATGTATGATGTTATCCATCCACCTATCAATCCAGTATTCTAAATGTGCACCATTGTTTTAGATTTCTAAAATATTATCTATAAGTTCGAAATACATGTACTGTCATGATGTGAGTGATGTTTAAAGATACTAAGGTTTGAAAGGCAAGGAGTGACAACACATAAATCCTTCAACTCATCACCTTAAGAAAAGGGTTTTTACCAACTTTACAACCTGCTTTTAATGTGATGTCCATGGCAGATGATATCATTGATAAGTGTACGGTAAGCCAACAAAATATTGACAACCCTTTTAAGAAGGAATAATATTCATATTCATTTTTGCAAGAATGAAGACATGATAAATGAAAATGTTTAATTATCAACAAAATTAAGAAATTTACTCGTTTATTCTTCTCATTTTACTACTAATATTAAAAAGCAATCTTAACAGCTTCATGGTAACTATAATATGTAGGGATGACCTCTGTTTCCAATAAATCTAGTCCCTTGCTGTACACATGATCTATCAATGTTCCCTTCTCAGTAGTACCATTAACAACATGCTGTTTGTAACCTTTATTACACATTAGCTTGTTTACCTGTGAAGAACCTTTAAACAAATCCTCATTAAAATCTCCCATCACAATACACCTAATGCTTCTTTTGTGTAATGCATCTAGCAAATTGTCTAATGATTCACAGAATGATTTGATACTATATGATGGAGGTCGATAAACAACTGAAATCACAACAGAAACTGGTTTGGTGACAAGAATTGCAATAAACTCTAAGTTGTCGACAAATATGTCTAATCTACTTGAATACGTATTCTTGATATACATTGCAACACCTCCGTGCGATTGTTCTTTGAGTACATTTCCAACTCCAGAATTACAGTATGAAAGATGTCGTGGCTGATGATAAAATCGAAAGTTATCTAAAACAACGTCACAGAGATCGTCATCATTAATCCATGTTTCGGTCAAGCAAATACAATCTACATTCACAAATTGGCACTGGGATTTGAAATCAGTAAAATGCTGTTTTAATCCTTGTACATTTTGCATTATCAAAGAAAAGTTATAATTGTGAATATCTTCAGAAGTCTTATTCTCGATAAACGGCTTCATAATCTCAATGCGTTCTTTAATTTCTGGATTACAAAATATAAGCTTAGGATCGAAATTTTCTATCACAAGTCCAGATAACGAAGTAACGCGACTAAGCCCAACATATGCCTGTCCAGATTGAAATACATTTTTTAATGATACAACAGCTTTGTCTAATGTCGAACCTTGTACTTTATGAATTGTGCAAGCATAAGCAAGCTTAAGTGGAAATTGTTTTCTCACATGTTTCTTACCAATGGATTCTTGAGACATTTCGATTGAATGAATACCAACATCGGCCTTCTCAAAATTAACTTTGATGCAAACTGGATTCAAATTTGTATGATCCGTTATTATTTCTGTTACATTTCCGAAACATCCATTTGTCAGGCCTTTACTAACATCAATGTTCTTGAGCAACATCACTCTAGCATTAACTGCAATCCACAGATAAGGAGGCAACTGGGTTTTCTTACCTGTATAAGGTTTTTCTCGTATTTTGTTTCCTTTTTTACCATCTTTGTCCATGTCTTGTGCTTTTACGCATATCACATCAACACATCTTTTATGCAATAATTTCTTGTTCCAAGCATCTACTTGATTGTTACATGAATAGATATGCAGAGCACTTTCACATTCTTCACCAGTTTCACAAGACTTGAGCATTGCTAGGTCTTCATCACAGAGAATCTCATCCCCTTCTTTTACACGTAATCTATTTAAGAGAAAAGCGAATTGGGTATCGTCTTTTTGTCTCATAATGTCTTCAAGTTCTACTTTCTTGAAATTAGCATTCCACAATGCACCATTGAGTGTGTCTTTATATAAAGGAGTTCCAAAGACTGGAGGTAACTGATACATGTCTCCCACAGCAATAACTGAAACACCAGCAAAAGCAGTTTGATCGCGTGATTGTTTTATTTGTCGTAGGCGGCCGTGAATGTAAGACATCATTTTTTGATCTACCATTGATACTTCATCTATGATTAAAATTTGCAATTCAGCCAGCTTATTTCGAAGGACACTTATTTTGTCATCACTCAGCGGTTGATACAGTACTTGTGCATTGATTGGAATAGAAAGAATACTATGTATTGTATGGCCATTGATATTGTATGCAGCTACTCCGGTTGGAGCCATTTTCAATACTGAGACATCATCAGGATGTGGCAACATTCGGGCTAGTATACGTGTTGCTTCATAGTAAAGACATTTGATCAAATGACTCTTTCCAGTGCCAGCACCTCCAGTTAGAAACATATGAAACGGTTCGACCGATTTTCCATTTACTCTATCTAAACACCACTGTCGTATTTTGTAAAAAACACTCTGTTGCTTCTCATTCAAAGACCTCATCAAAGAATGTCCATCTTGTTTGGAAATTCTTACTGAACGTAGTTCGATGCTATAGTCATCTTTTTTCGGTTCATTCTTTAAATCTGGGATATCAAGATCTCCATCACAATCTTCGACATCTACATTTTCTTTGGGATGTTCAAGTCGCTCTACTTCCTTTTCCGGACATAAAAGACCCCATGCATCTTCGTGTGGACCAAATTTGTCAAGGTGCTCCTGTGCATGATCAATTGCATCAGCATTCATTTCAAACTTCTTTCGGTTAGAACAGACAATTGACCAGACTTTCTCCAATGCACGTCCACATATTTTCACAGAACCTGTCTCATAGAACTCTTCATGTGTTTCAAATGTTGGGGGCTTTAATTGTCCATCTTCAAAATATGGCAGAAAGAGTTGCAAAATGCTCAAATAATATTTTTCGGGTGAGATGATGGGTGAGAATCGGGGATATCTTACAACTGCATCTCCTGTACGAGTACGCTTCTGAATATATCCCAGATCGTTATCTAATTTAAAGACATTTTTACTTCTTGTACTTGGCTTTTGGGATGCAGTTAAGATTCTATACTGAGAACAAAACGTTGCAAGACACATATCACTGAATTCTGCGTTTCTAGGTCGAGCTTTGTATCTGTCGAGCTTGCTAGGCATCCAAACATTCTCATCATCATCATTATCGTTATCTGGTCTGCTTTTTATAACGCTTAATGGTAAACTCATTCTGACAGGGTCGGGTCCAACAGGAATGAATTCCACTTTCCTAGAACATTCTTTCAATCTGAGACTGCAAACACGATAGACGCTTTCTTGAGCAGACACTTCACGATTTTGCATGTACACCTGGCCAAGTTTTTTCATGCTTTCCTTTGCGTTCTCATTTCCTTCTTTCATTTCTGATAGTGTATGACTCAATAGCATTCCGATTTCTCGTTCAGCTTTTGACATGTAGGATACAATATAAGCCACGCATGCAAATACATTTGTTACGAACTGCAAATCCATGTTGGCATTCCAGCTTCTTAGTAGACTTGGATTAAACTGATTTACCCATACATCTTGTATTTCTCTTTTGATGATTATACTTTGTTGTGATGCTAATTCATTATGTGCATTCTCAAATTGATTTTGTGTAATGCCAAGCTTTTCAAAGAGATGGTTTACACTGTTGTACTCGATTCCATTGGATAATGCATCTTTAACTGACTTCAACAATTTCTCTGCATCATCTTTAATCTTTTTAGAAGCTTTAATTTGATCATTGTCCTTTCCCTTATTTTGCACTTTCCCACAATCTTTAGCTGGAATCTCTTCAACAGGTGTTACAATGAATGTTTTTTCGGATGGTGGTCTTGGGAAATTAAATCTACACGCTTTTCCCGTTTTTGTGCAAGATTTAGAATGTTTCTTACTGTGTTGTTGGACCTTGCTCACTATTTCATGTAGTTCTTGATCTTCCTTTTCATCCGGTTTCTGGCAAGAAATGTATTTATCTACGAATTGTACGACATCATCATCTTTATCGATACCCAACTGTGGAGCATTTTGAACCCAGAACAAGGCATGAATGTGAGGGGAACCACGGGCTTGATACTCTACTCTCCAAAATGAATCAACTACTTTACCAATCGGTGCAGCGGGAGATAAAATAACTTTCTTCATAAAAGTGTGAAATCTTTTATCAAACATTCTGGCAACTGTTACTGGATTTGATCTTAAAAGATTACATTTTTCTGTATAGTCTAATTCACTCGATTCCCTGGTGTCTCCTTTTTGTCTAAGCAATGTATTCATTAATTCTGGCCATCTCATATCGGCAGATGAGAAAGAAGCAAACCATGTCGGCTTTCCAAGCTGTCGTACCATTGCGAGAACATCTTTTTGTGTCTTTTGCCAGAATGGAGGTGTTCCACGAATTTGCTTTAAAAATTTAAAGCCCTTGTCTGATTTTAGTATTTTTTTAACTTTCTCTGCATCTTTCAAATCTGAGGCAGTTATTGAAGACGAATCATCTTTTTTGTTTGGACTTTGCCTTAAAGCGATAGAAACTTGTGATATAACCTGTTGAATTTCATAAATATATTGTGCATAAAAGATGTAATCTGTATTCTGAGCAAATCTATTGTCCACGTGCATCAGTCGGTTATGCAGATAACGTCCTAATGTTATTTTTTCATCTCTTCTATCATGGAATGTTGGTTGACCTTTAGGAAATAATACTGGGAAACATTTGGCCTCATTGCTTTCATCTTGTAGAATTGATACAGGGCTTCTTCCTTCACAAGGAGCACAACATATTATGTCTTCAAAATACTGATCTAATATTTCCTGTCCAATATCTACTGGCTGAAGACACGAGTCTAACTGAATACCGCGTAAGCGTTCTTCCATATCGTCTTCAGTGTTGTTGTCATCTATTTTTTGTTGTAGTTTACTGTTGTCTTGCATGTTTTCATTAGCATTTTTGTCTTTGGACAAAATGTAATCAATTTGTTCTTCCATTTCCTTCCAATATTTTGCTAAACGAGCTTTACCACCAATTTCCACTGCTTCTTCTTTTTCATTATCTTTTTCATTTCGTTCAAGTGAGTTTTCCCATTTATCATTTACTGTAACATCAAAATACCACTTATTATTTGCTTTTAAATACTGCAGAGCATTAAGCAAGTTAGATTTATCTACAAATTTGTACTCATAATAGCTTTTGTACGACAATTTTCGTTTGAGTTTAACACGGATCAATTGATCTTCAGTCTGTGGTCTTGGCAACATATCTACTGTTTCATAAGTGTTTGAAGGCACGCACACGACTGGGCCATGGACTCCATTTTGACCACCTTTAGGCAAGGCCATTAACTTCATGAAAGGAATATTCAATGCAATCAAATGCTGTTCTAAATTGTTCAGATTGGCAAGTTCTTCTGGAACTTCATGTAGTTGTAAATTGTTCATATTTGCTTCTGCAGGTACTTTTCCAGCTTTCAATTTTCTATGACAGGTGAAGCATATCCATAGTGACGATCTGGCTGACTGGCCTATTAAACATTTTGACCGGCATTCTGAATTGCAAACATGCAAATATTCTTCACTTATGCATGTCTGAATTTTATAATTACTCTTTTTACATTTCAATACTTGGTTCTCAAAGAGAAGTTTTAAGCATACACAGCACACATATTCTGGGCCATGAGAAATTATCTTTCTAAATTCTTCAAGTACAATATCAAACTCGGACAATTTTACTGTTCGAAGTACAGACCTTTTTCGATTTCGTTTTATTACATTTTGTCTATATTTTTCAATTCTTTTATATTTAATTTTTAAGCTCATCAATTTCTTTTCCTTAAATTCGTTGCCTTTATATCTAATTTTGGACAATATTTTCATATTTGCCTTTTTTATATGTTTGAAGTGATCGTTGCGATATAATTCCTTCATTTGTTTTTTCATGGTATCTCGTTGTTTTTCCTTGAAATGTTGATCGTTCGCATATTTACTTCTTATTTTTTGTTTGTGCATTCGTTTAAATTGTTCATCGTTGCGATATAATTCCTTTATTCGTTTTTTCATGGTATCTCGTTGTTTTTCCTTGAAATGTTGATCGTTCGCATATTTACTTCTTATTTTTTGTTTGTGCATTCGTTTAAATTGTTCATCGTTGCGATATAATTTCTTTATTCGTTTTTTCATGGTATCTCGTTGTTTTTTCCTTGAAATGTTGATCATTCGCATATTTACTTCTTATTTTTTGTTTGTGCATTTGTTTAAATTGTTCATTGTTCCAATATTTATTTTTCATTTTAGTCCTCATAGCTGTTTTAACTTTTTCTTTGAATCCTTCATTTCTCAAATATTTTTGTTTATTTCTATACAAAATTTTCTTTTTATAACATAAATCAAAATGATATTTGGTTTTCATAATATTTAGCTGTATGTTCCTGAAATTTAAATCCTCTTTATACATTTCTTTTTGCCTTCGTTTCACATGAGCTCCTTGCTTTATTTTGTGTGATAAATTAGTGTTGTAATTCTCTTTTTGTCTTTGTTTTATTTCATTTATTTTTTCCATGTTGTAGGTTAAATCATTTTGATATTTATTTTTCTTTTTAATCACTTTTTTCGTTTTTCTCATTTGCGCATTGTGAATACACTTTTCCTTTTTCTTAATTATTTCATCTTTGGCCAAGGCTCGTTTTTCTCTCATAAGCTGTCTCATGCGCTCCCTTCTTTGATTAGAACTTTGTCTGTGTTTACGTTTTTTCTTTCCATGGTCTACATTTCCAACATGAACTTCTCCAATTATTATTAATTCATCATGACTATCAGCACATTCGCTTGCATCAACTCTTAAGCTGTCGTTCTCATTCATTTTTACCAATTTGGTTTTTCGAATTTCCTTGCCAAGGTCGACATCAACTTTTGCATCGCTTTCGAGGTTACTCCATTTTCGTTTTCTGCTTAAGATAGAGTTGAAATTCTGAACTTTGTTCACTAAATTCAATTTATCAGAGTCATTCCCGGATTTAGTACAATTTTTGGAATCTCCTTTTTGTTCATTTTCATATTCTGTCTTGATAGAGTCATTTCCGTTCAGAAGACAACTATTATTCAGCGGTGATTCTTTTAATTTGGTTAAGGTAATTGTCACACTCTTCAGTTTTAATTCCTGACCGTTATAATGTACATCATGAATGATTGTTTCATTTGCTTCTTCAGGGAAGAGAAATACATTTGGGTTATCAATCATCTTTTGTGGGGAAACACTCTCATCCGATCTTTGAACTTCATCAAAGCTTTCACAATGTATGGAACATCCAGAGCTTCCAGACTGACTTTCACTGTGCGTATTTGACGAAGGAATTGGATTACAAACAAAATCCTGTAACTGTGGATAGCCTTTCAAGGTTTCATTCTTACCGGAAGTTGCTTTAGCACATACACTAGTTACTTCATATTCGGTGTGCAGGGGGCATCCCATTGATTTTGCTAACCTCATGCAATGCTTGTACACACCTTGCCAGCTTTGAGTACGAAGTACAACACTGTGTCCGTTACAACTCAGGAAACCTCGACTACTTCTGGAATGTGAATCAAATATAAAGAAACCATCTTGACCAGATAATACAATGAAAGTACTTCTAGCAAATGTCACAAAACATGCATCAGAATCAGTACAGAGTTCTTTTTCGAGTGCTTGCTTCAATGTCATCGAAAGAGACTGGGCCAATATCAATTCATCTCCATCTAACAATCCAGTGACTGGTTCACGGCGTACTATGTTAAACAATTCATTGTACGCATCCAAATATTCAAATAGATCAGATATCAATAAGTATTGGTTGTCGAGTGAAGTGGATCGCCGTATGTAACAGTATAATTCATTACCGTTATTCAAAATCCTGTCTAGATCTGTACTTTTCCAATCATTGGCATTTTTTACCTTGCTATACAACAGTGCAGAAAGTGAATTGGTAACACACTGCTTTCCACTTAAGTCACCAAATCTTGTATCACCTTGATTGAATGTCCCTTGGGCAACAAGCGTTATTTGTGTATCGACTCTCGTGCATTTGTCTTTGTGATCACTTTCAAGGGTTTCGTCCTTGGTGTTACGTTCGTTGTGAACGACTGATTCAGACTGATTACTTGCACACTGTTCATATGTCATGTCCAAAAGATTTGCAGTACCTTTCCTCTCATCGTGATTTATCGTACCAGTCTCCAACGTGAGCCTACGTTTTTTTCCGTTTGGATCAACATGGTTTTGAAATGTTTCAGGAGACTTATCCACTACTTCATCAATTTCTTCCACTATCTGCGACTTGGATCTACACTTCTTCAACACATGCTTTACTTTAACATCAGCCTGAATTGATTGACATGGCAAAGTCCTCTTTGACGTTCTATCTTCTTTAGTTGTTCTTGTCTGTTCCAATGAATTGAAATTGACAAAATCTACAGATTCAACAACATTAAAATGAACATTTCCTGTGTACAGTATATAAATTCCCTTATCAGATGTAACAATATTGATTCTTCCAGGTTTCTTTGCGGAGTACAATTGCCAACATGGTACTTGGTCATTGTATGAATAAATATCAGTATCGATTAAATTTGCTAAAGCGCTAATTTCAGTGTCTGTAGCCCACGTTCCGTCTTCCTTTATTCTACGTTTCAAAACATATTCTCTGACTGTTCTATATTCTTGCCTCAATGTATTACTAAACATGTCCTTGGTTTGCAATAAATGTTTCACAGTGGCATTTCTTAAAATTGCATGATTACGCTCAGTTCCAAAAATTACATAGGAAATTGCACGAAAGAAACAATTGCCATCACCAGTAATTTGTTTACTCTGTAAAGGAACTCCAAGACAGCTATTTCTATCTAACCTTGAATCACAGCCTTTGCCTATATATCTGATATTCAGTTTTGAACAAATGTTCTGTTTGTCATTATTCTGGAGGGGTACAAATTTGAAATCTTTATCCGGTCTACCACGTAATCCAAGATCTGCTACAAATTCAACTTCTGTTTCTGTTTCATCAGTACATGTGTACATATTAGCATCTATTGCCTTTTCAATGTCTTCATCTTTGATATTTGAATCTGAAGAAGATTCTAAAGGATTCCTTGAATGAGCATGATCATTAAATGACATATCAGTATCATTGTCTGTACCATCTTTTACTGTATCAAAGCTTCTATTCTTCAGGTCACTGTCAAACACTGCATCTTCTTCTACACCATCTGAAACATCTGAAAAATCATTTTTCATCATATCATCATTTTCCAATACCGATTCACAGACATTGCCTACTGGTTCATTTCTGGGCATATCTTTTGGTCTATCACAAACATTCAAAGGCATATTGCGTTCTGGTGAAACACTTCTATCGAATAAATCACATCCAGGACTTGTGTCTGTATCACTATCAGATTCTATACAATTCCTTGCACACGAACGTTTCACTGGTATATGAACATCACTGCCACTATCATCGTCTGTTTCAATTTCCCTATTTTCATCAAAATTTGATTGCAACAGATTATTCTTTGAATCGTCCTGCACAACTCCATCTGAACCTTTGTTGTCTTTCATATTGCAAATATGCTGGTCTGAGTGTTCATCATTTTTACATGTATTTGGATCAAGTCCTTGGTCACTTGCATTCATAGATTTCTTTGTATCCAGCTTCTCATTCTTTACTGCTAATTCTATTCCTTCATCTTTGTCAAATCTAATCTCTGATTTATCAGAAGAGTGATTTCCATCAGTGCCTTTTTTCCCGGCTTTGGAAGACTGACCTTTCATGTTCCTTTTTCGACCTCTTCCTCTTTTACCTCCTGCGTAGACTCTGTATCGTCTCAAATCCTGCATCTTTTCCAGAATGTTGCAAGTTCTTTGGTTAGAGCGTTGATCAGAATCTGGTTTTGACAATGGAGACAAACTAGCAGTTACGTCAGCGTATGATTGATTTTGCATTCTTTCCATTTCTTCACAGGCTTCATTGTAAACCTTCATAGAATGTAGAGATTGCACACTGCAAGCATAAATGCTCAATAGATTTTCTGCATAGGATTGCACACTGACATCTTCTTCTTCATTTTTCATTTTCTGCTTCACCTTACACTCTTTTTTGTGTACTGTGTTTTTTCTCTTACGACTCCCATAAAATGTCTTGAATGCTTTGCCAATGTAGGTAACACCTGGTTCCAACAATACACCATGAATTGATCTTTTCTGCCTTTTGTCCTGTTCATTTTCTTCTTTTGAATTTGAATGCAATCTTTCTTCTCTTTTTCTTGCCATCAGTTTTGCTCTCTTGCATTTCACTTTCACCCACTTATCGTCAACTTCTTCATTGAGCAAGTTTTGATCTATGAAATGAGACAGATTGTCTGTTACACCATTTTCATATCTGCTACATGGCTCTGCAAACAGCGTGCTCCTTTTTACTTTAACATACCTCTTCTTTGATGTCCTTACTCGTCTTGTCTGTTTGAAGATCTCCATGTTCTCATCGTCATTGTCATCATCATCATCTGCTGACATGAGAGGCTCATATCTGTTATAATGAGATGGAATACATACTTTGTCAAATATTCGATCGCCAATATTGCTATGACCACAGCATGAGCAAATCCAAATCAATCTCTGGTCAGCAAGTTTGTCATTGTTCAAGTATTCCTCACATGTCACATGGAAATGGTTGGTACAAGACTCGCATGTTACATAGTTGTCACTTTTATTGATCTTATCCATGCAATAACATTCATCAACATCTGTGTTGATCATCGATGTGTAACTCGAAAGCATGCTTAGAATCTCATGAACAATAGAGCTGAATTGAGTGGCAGCCATTTTCAATCTCTTTATCGCAATAGGCATAAAATGCACAATATTAAAAGTTTACAGTCTAATTAGTAATATTCAAATAAATGCCTTGATGTGTTTTGGATGTACAAGAAGGTAATACTTTTAAAGATTTCACGTACGAATCTTTGTATCTATTCTGCAATATATCTCTTCAAAGTGCAATACTTTATTAAAAAATTTTAGTTCCCTGACAATTTTTAAAATCGGTTTGTCAATGAAGCAGACTCGCAAGTGGACTCTGTCACTCTCGATGCAAAATTGTTTATCCCCTTTTCACACTTAAGGGTTTATTATAATGTTATTTTCCTTGTAATGAAAGTCACTTAATACAAACACTGAATATCTGATCAAAATTTCCTTCAACTCTCTTCTTTATCAACAAACTTTAGTTAATTACTTGAATATTAGTTATATTAACACGTTTCCTACTCTCTATGAAACTACTTAAGCTTATATGTTTTTCCTAAACCTTGTTCTCTTACTTCAATTTTTCTACTTTTGTTATTTATCAAGCTCACTTTAAAAAAAAGAAAAGAAAATCTGTGATCAAATATTTTCTTTCCAACCACTCAAGCCCACTTGTATTTTTCTACCTTGATCTCTTTAATAATTTCCTTATTCTTTTTATTTATCACGCTCCCTTCTTTTCTCCAAAACTCTGTAAATGATAAAATACCTTCTCTGCAACTTCTCAAGCCCACTTGTATTTCTGAACCTTATTCTCTTCAATTTTCCTCACCCTTTTTTTTTAATATGTTCAACTTATCAAAGACACCTCCTTTTCTCTAAACTCTGTAAGTTCTGGACTTTATTCTCTTACTTCAACTTTTCTCACGCTTTTGTAATTAATCAAGCTTACCTCTTTCTTAAATTAAAAAAAAAGTGTCATCAAATATCCTCTATCAAAGTTCTTAAGCCCACTTTATTTCTCAATCTTGTTCTCTGGCTTTAATTTTCCTCACGAATATGTAATTTACCAAGTTCCGGTCTTTTTATTCTAAAAACTCTCTAATCAAATATTTTCTTTCCAACCACCTAAGCTCACTTGTATTTACGTTTCCTCTTACTTCAATTTTCCTTAATCTTTTTGTAATTTATCAGGGATTTTTTAAACAAAATCTGTGAATGATCAAATACCCTCTCTGCAACTACTCAAGCCCACTTGTATCTCTGCACTTAATTCTCTTCAATTCTCCACACTTGACTTCAGTATGTATAATTTATCAGTCACTTCCTTTTCTTTTTCTAACTCTATAAACTTTTGAACCTTACTCTCTTCAATCGTCCTCACTCTTTGTAATTTAAAGCTTACTCCTTTCTTTAAAACAACCTCTCTGTAATAAAATATGCTCTTTCAAACTACTCAAGGTTACTTGTTCTCTTGACTTCAATTTTACTCACTCTCTTTGTAATTTTTCAAACTCACTGCTTTTTCTTTTAACTTAAAAACCTCTGTAATCAAATATCTTCTATCCAACTACTCTAGTTCACTTGTATTTCTAAACCTTCTTTTCTTTCTTCAATTTTCCCCACTCCTTTTTCAATTTTACCACGCTTACTTCCTTTTGAAAAAAATCTGTAAACGATCAAATATCCTGCTTTTCTTCTGATTAATTAATCTTATCACTGGTTAATGAATTTCCAATACGCTCACCCAAAGTTCTTTGTAAGCAAACACACTTTATTGTATCCCTACAACTGAAAATATCCCAAGTTTGTTTCCCACTTTTTGCAAACTTGCCTTTTATTTCTCAAAACTGTAATTTGATAAATTGTATTTATTCCTATCAAGCCTGTTTGTTTTTCTAACACACTGTCCCTGTTATTGCTTATTTATCCACGAGTCTCACCTGGTTCCTGTTATTGCTTATTTATCCAGGAGTTTCACCTGGTTCCTGTTATTGCTTATATATCCAGGAGTCTCACCTGGTTCCTGTTATTGCTTATATATCCAGGAGTTTCACCTGGTTCCTGTTATTGATTATATATCCAGGAGTTTCACCTGCTTCCTGTTATTGATTATATATCCAGGAGTTTCACCTGGTTCCTGTTATTGATTATATATCCAGGAGTCTCACCTGGTTCCTGTTTTCTTTTTCAGATATTTCTTTTCTTTTTCGGATTTTTTTTCTGTGGATTCTTTATACAACTCTACCACGGTCTCCCGTGGGTGAAATGTGATGAAATGGATAAAGACGCACACCCTTCTTGAGTGTGGGACACTCTCTTCTGAGAGCAGGATCTCTTCTGAGATTAGGAAAAGAGGTGAGATGAAGGTTCTTTGGTTCAAATGTATACAATGAAAAGATGTCAACATAAAACAATTACTTTTCCTGAAAAGATCAAATTTCCAGGAGACAAACACAAACACATAAGTGACAGCCAGACACCTGTAAGGAGAGGGGGTAAATATTAAAAGGTTTGTTAAAATGAAAAGGAGCATCATCCATCTTTCAGAAGGCAAAAATTTTAACGTTTGTGAGGTAAGATTATGCTACAATACATATATATATATATATATACAGATATTAATCATTTTTATCCACAAAATGTACATAAATTCGTTATTTTGGGACACTATACATGATTCCTATAAAATAACATGCTCATTTACATGTTGAGACCCCTACCTTCACCCCCCTTCCATTTTACAACACCCTGCAATTCTGGTTTTCCTACAAAGTGCATCAAAAGCTTCCTACTGTCATCACTATTGCTTGAACAGGGAGAAAAAGAAAAAAGATTGTAAAGCTCAAAGCCATTTTAAACAAAAATGGGACATACATTAATAATGCCACTTTGTATAACAGTTTCACATATATTTGTAATGAAAGAATATTTTTAAGAAAAAAATATATATATGCATTGTTTGTTTTTCATTAAAATTATCTCCAGCTTTTAATAGAGTGACTTATTACCAACCTTACTTTAGCATGTATCCACATTAAAATTATTATGCACATTAACAATGTACTAGATATCATGTTGGTGTAGGTATCTACATGTAACACATCGCTGTTACTTGAACTGCGACCATAGAGATAGAGTCCACACCACTCTAGCAATATATATCTCTGATGATCGTCACTCGAGACGATACACGCGCCTGCGCCTGAACAACCTGATTACACAATTTTTCTCATTGCCTGGCATCACAACACATGGGTTGTTGAGTTTTTAACATCTCTTATCAAATTATTCAGTATTACCGTAAATCTCCGTGTATTTCACATTTTTTATTTGGCAGAATATTTAAAAGTTTCAACTTTTTATTTAGACACTCGGTATACCTACACTCCAAAAACTTTCTTCCGTCAAAGTCCAAAGCACCTGTCATCAAAACAAAAAATAAAAAGTACAAGTAAAACATGACCAAAATATATAATACAAACAAATAATTAAAACCAAGTTAGATTCCATCACAAATTCAACTTTGGTAACAACTCATTTGCATACTTTGATGTCACTCAAACATTTCATAAAACAGTCCAACCTCATTATAACAATTCAGTATGTCATACATATCATCCATCAAGGCCCCATTGCATGAAACTATTTTACCTTATGCACTTTTGATGCTAATTAATTAACATGCTACAATTGATTTTTCCCCAAAGGTCACCTACATTAATTATCCATCCTGATAGTTTTCTTTCAGATAGCATGAGGGCAGTACAAATATGTATCAAGATTCCATTCATTCTTTTGGAAGCCACCTAGCCATCATCAAAATTGTATAAAAAAAAAAAAATAAAAAAAAAAAGGAGGCCCCAACAAAATGAAGCGGGCGGGGACGCTTAAACATGTAAAAAAAAATTAATGGCCTAATGCTATTCCGTATTTGCCGGCGATAAGGCCGCAGCGCTGTTTAGGCCGCACCCCCCCCCCCCCCCCCCCCGAAAAAAAACCCTCGCGGGGAAGGACCTTCATTTTACATCGAGGTGCAGTTAAAGTTGTTAACTTGTCACAAATAATAGTAACAATGTCGTTGTAGAAGAATGTGTAAGATCATTAATGTAAATTAAAAACAAGTCAAGACTCTAAGGCTTCATGATACCAAGTGTCCCACACCAGCCTCATCATATCACCTAACAGAAGCACTGTGTTCTATGCCAAACATCAATAGTCATGCATGATATGAATAGCATCCTCTAAATTTCTGACAATGGAGTACCTAGGATAGAACCTTGTGGTACACCATTTGTTATAGAAAAAAAAATTGAGGAATTATTATTATAAACTACACATTGAGATCTATTAGAAAGATTACTTTCAAACCAAAATGACAGACAAATTTTAGTGTTGTTGTTGTAGTTTCCGAGTGGTGAGTCAAAACACTGATTACTGAGCTGGGAGACATTGCCAGGCATAGCGCCATAAATCGAAACTAAAAAAAAAAAAAAAAAAAAAAAAAAATACTCTTTCGCCGCATAGGCCGCACCCCGACTTTTTGATATTTTCTCTTCCATTAATACTACGGCCTTTACGCCGGCAAATACGGTAGTCACATTACCCAAAAGTAGCCTGCTCGGTGGCCGAGCGGCGAGTTTTTAGCCAATTTTGCCCGGTCACCGAGCGGCGGCCGCCCAGGCACCGCTCGTTTTTCAGGCATCGCTCGGTCGCTGCTGAAGCTTTAGCGCGGAGTTAAAATTCGGGCGGCGCCTGCTCACTTTCAC